ATTCTTCTGAGGCCATGCTCCTCTACAAATATACTAGTGTTTGACTATTTATTCAAAGCTCAAACATTGAAAAAATACAGCACTACTAAATTATATGCTACCACACAAAAGCTAATTTAATAATCTGATTTATATAAAGGGAAATGGCTAATGGAGAAACTGGAGGTTTTCCTGGCATTCTTTTGCAAAGATCTTGGGGTCTTCCTTCATGTCGTCTTCCCTTCTCTATAATTATCTATGTCCTCTTCTCTGGAATAATAGAAGCCCTTGACCTCTTTTCAAAATGCCACCTTTGGATGTGTCTCCATAGAGATCTTGCTTTTTTAAGGGAACAACATACAGAAGCATTACCATTTTATCAAGTTTTTGTTACTTGGTAGTAATTGATTTGGTTGGCTATTCATTTCTGTTCATGTATCTTTCATTTTCATTTCAAAACCACTCATCAGTGTCCCCTATCTAGCATATACTTTGCTAGGCTGGAGGGTCTTAGAAATGAGCAAGGCCACATCCCTGCCTTTCCCACTCAGCAGAGAAGATAGAAATGTAACTAAAAACCCATGAAAAAGAAACAATTGGTCATTATTGGAGGATGCTATTGAACAAGTCATTATTGTGCAAATTGGTACACAGAAACATTTATCTTGCCTATACCATATGAATGGGTCAATGCCTGCTAAAATAATGGATGAGTTAAAAATTTTAAAGACATACTCCAGCTAGTCAACGAATAGAGAATGACAGAAATAGCAACTATCACATTGCACCTTGCAGCCACTGATCGTTAACAGTTTCTAAAATCACACCCAAGAAAAAGAAACAAGGCATTATGTACCATCTAATGATAGAATACAAGAATAAGTATGGAACAATCTTACACAAAAGACCAAAATCAAACCTGAATATGATCAAACCTGTAGAACTGTACTATTCAGTAGCCAAAAGTCACATCAGGCTACTGAGCATGTAGAAAATAGCTAGGTTTAATGGAGATGTGCATTTTTATACTGAATGCCTGCTGAAGTGACAAGAAAAGTTATATTATAGTCAATAAAACAAAACCATTATAGGAAACCAGGTAATATGTACAGGGAAAAATGGTACTACTTTTATAACTTACTGTATGTCTTTAATTATTTCAAAGTAAAAGTAAAGGCAGGAGTTTAAAAAATAATTTAACCAAATGCAGTGTGTAGAGGTCATTTAAATTATTATTATTTAAAATGTATTTATTTATTTTTTTATTTTTAAAATTTATTTATTTGTGTGTGTGTTTTTGTGGCCAGCTCAGCCCACCAGGGGGCGGGGCTGGCTGGCATGTGGTGCTGGGGGATTGAACCGTGGTCCCTGTGCTTTGTTCAGCTTGTTCTAAGTAGGTGCTTTAGACCACTGAGCCATCTCACCAGCCCCTAAAATGTATTTAGTACAGGATCTTACTGTGCAGCTCAGACTCAGACTTATGATCCTTCTGTTTTTGGCCTCCCCAGTGTTGGAATTGTAGGCCTGCACTACCACACCTGGTCTCCTCATTTAAATTTTATTTAAAATAAACCCAGAGGGCCGGGGAGTTAGCTCAGTGACACAGCACCTGCCTTGCTAGTGCAAGGTCCTGAGTTTGATTCTTGATGTTCCCCCAAAAGATCCTGTGTCAAAAAAATAAAACAAAACTGTCTGTATAAAATAAACCCAGAAAATGCTTAAGCATTATGATATGTATAAGAGAAATAAAAACTTGAAAACATATTAGACATTTGATATAATGCAATTAATGATGTTTTTAAATATTATGACAGCAATGTGGTTATTTGTAATAAGTAAGCCTTTATAAGTATCTTTTTAAGACAATCCCTGTAGGGGGCCAGGGAGATGGCTCAGTGGAATAAGCACTTCCTTGGCAAGCGCAAGGGCCTGAGTTCAGTCTCCAGTTCTGAAAAAAAAAAAAAGATGATGCCTAAAATATTTAGGAACAAAATGACATATGTCTGGGATTTGGTTTAAAATAATGGGGAAAAAATAAAATAAAATAATGGGGAAACCAAAGGAGGCGCTGAAGAAATAATAGCTATGAACTGATGATCGTTTATGTCTTATCGTGCTATGTGGTGTTTATTACAGCAGTCTACTTTTATAAATGTTCAGTATTCTCCATGATAAGAGGGCTTAAAAGATAGACAAATAGATGGGCAATTTCTTAAAGGGTATTACTACTGAAGATGGTTTTACAATAATGGTGTTGATTATTTATAAATGACCTTTGGCTGAGGGGAATAAAAAAATTTCTATTCAACCTAATTTGAAACAAAACTAATTTAAAAGGAGTCACTAGGCTTAAAAATATCCTACCCTGTGCACATCATTCTGTTTCTGCACTGCCGGAAAATCGCCTCCGATAGGTGCCTGGCGGCTTAACTCGTCATCTTTCAGTTGGAGCCACACCAGAAGCTCCTGAAGAGAAAGGTGCAGACGCTTCCACTGGTCCGAACTGGCTTCCAGATGAGACCTGCAAAATAACAGAGGTCAACTGCGTTAGGATAGCTAGAGGTACACTTGCTGGGTCTAATTCCATTTCATTGGTTGGTTATTTCCAAACTATTCAACCTCTTGTGGAACACACAACGGCCTCCAGGAAAAGTCTGGTTACCTGCTTTTAAAGCCTATAAAAAGGATACAGAGGGCATTCTAAAGCCAGTTTGGAGGAAAGATAGTATCTGTTCATCTGCATGTTTATCTCCACATGCAGCATTTGGATCTTTTAGCATGACATATATACTGGAATCTAGTTGCTTTCACATCCAATTGCAGTCAATGATTCTTACCTAATATTTCTGGTAGAAAAAAAACTGGACCTCATGACTAATAAAAACCTCTCAGTATTCATGTGACTCATGCTAGCATTGAAATTCTTTCTGCTTTGAGAAATGGAAAAGTCTCTCTGTACATTTTGACTTTGCCATTTCTACACCCGAGCCAGCCTTTTCCATAGACTTCTTCCGTCTGGCGTCTGTCCTTTTCTGCTCCACTTACCATCTGCTTCTCCTTTTCCTCTGCCCTTCTTTATTCCTGTGCACCTGGGATTTGTTTTCACCAAGTTCCAACATATTCTGCTTTGTTTCCTTTGTGTAAAACTTACTGAGACAACAACTCACGTGGAAGAGTAAAAGCAGACATTGGTTTGAAAGCTTTCCCCAAACATGAAAAATTTAGGCAGGAGTTTAAGCACTTTAGCATCAACTGTATTTAAAATATGTTAATCTTTAGGAACCATTTAAGAATATACAAATTAATGATCTGTGCTATAAAATACACATTTCACTTGAGTATGAGAAACTAAATTGATAAAATAAATTACCATCCAGAAAACAAAGTCGGAAGGCCAATGTTAGGAAAGAGATATCCTCAGGTAAATCTGGAATTACATCGTATCACTTACATGAGGAATATTAATGCATAAAAATTAATGCTGCCTATAACATAAATATAATAAAGTTTCTAATGCTGCAGAGATTGAAATCTGCAGCTAAGCAGCCAGGTACAGAAACATTTCCCTTGGTCATTTGGTAACTTAGCCTGACATTTCAAATACAATTTCTGTCTGGCCTTCACAGAATTACCAAAAGAGTTCCAATTACTGAAATAAATTCTTCTATATTTTTTGGGGGATAATCTGATGACATATAAAAATCTTTAAAATGTACAAATACAAACCCCCAAAGTTGAATTCAAGGAATTTATTCCAAGAAAGTAACTAAAAAAGCATATAAAGATACACACAGAAAACCAATATTTACAGACTCATTGATGATCACTATAATGGAGAAACAACTTCAAAACTTTAACACTATGGAAGCACAGTGGAATCCTGGGTGATGTTAAATAGGATGACCTAGGTAAATAGCTACAGACATGGAAAAGAACACCATGTCAGTTGCTAGGTGAGAAAGTGAATTCTAAAAAAGGAATACAATCTGCTTTTCTACTTTCCTAAGCTGCTTATGTATGTGTAGATTTTGTGTGCACATGCTTGACTTTGTATGAACAAATTTCAGAACAACCAGGTTATCCCTCAGACATGGGCTTGTAGTAATCTATTCCTTTGTTTTTCTACTTCTCCAAAACATCACAATTTCTAGAATGAACAATATAAACATTCACAGAAGAAGATTTTCTATCAGTTAAGAGAATTAAATGGCTCCAAGACCCTAAGGCTAATAATATCTAATAAATGAATCATGACATACAATAAGTGCAGTGAATTAAATATAATAGTACATGCAGCACTATTATACTACATACAGTGTGGAGATCAGTTCTTTTATGTTTCTGTTTCTTGCCTTTCAGTTATCCCTTTTCCATGAGAATTCCCTATACAAGATTTTAGCTGCTTAATGATATGTAATGAGTACTAGTTACAAGGATTCCCTGCGGTGGTTGGAATTTGCAGCGTGGTCCCCTTGAGGGTGAAAGAGGCTGTGAAGCAGGACATTATAAAAGGTATTAGGAGAGAGGTGCAGTCCCAACAAGGAAACACAGCCAATGGCTGAGAGACACTAATTAAATACATATTTACCCAGTGGCTCTACGTTCCAATGAAGCACTGGGCTATAGAAAGAAGGAAAGGGAAGGGAGAAAACAAAGATACCTAGTGCTTGGTTTCCCTCTATCTAGTGGAGGAAACAAAATTTCCTCTACAAGAGGTGGTGAGAGGTCCTATGAAGGATTTGCTGAAGGGCGGGCTGCCCACAGTGAGACCTCAAGCTGCTGTTTGGTTTATACAAGGAAGTGCTACTACCCCAATTGTAGCTTAGATAGTGCCGTCTAATTATTAGTATGTTGGTGAACTCCTTGTGTCTCGTAAAGAGAGAAAAAATAGCTAGCAGACCTAAGGAATTCAGCTCCAAAGGGTCTAAGAGTAATTTAGTAGCATAAGCAAGGCAGAGTGTTGGAACTTATGGACAGAGGACAGTCAAGAGTTACGTCAGAAGCCACAGCAGGACTGGGAAGCACAAGCCATGGAACGCTCTCAAGTATGTGGGTGAGGGGGCTTTTGCTAAGGTGTGGAGTTGGACAATGTTTCAGAATGTTTGGTCACCTTACCTGTGTGAGGATAGAAGTACAGGCAGGAAAAAGACAAGGAAACTGGCATTTAAAAATTGTACTTTTAAGAAATATTTCAACTTCAGGACACAAAAGTTACTCAAGGCCAATTTAAAGCTGTTTTCCCCTCTTCTCTTAAGAAGCAATATAAGCCTGGATAATTCTCTTTGACCTGCACGTAGATTCAGTCCATCCCTTTTAACTTGCAAATGGGCCTCCTTTACTGTGAACAGACTGCCTTTTTTATCCTGTAAAGTAAATTTTCCCGTAGGAAAGGACCAGACCAAGGCTATAAGTTGACAAATACTATAGATTCCTACTGCCAGAAACATAAATATTCCTAGCTCCAAGCTGCACTGCACTTCTCTCTTCTGTTGAGGAACCAGTAAACACCTTAAACTTCTCCCAATAAATCCCTTTCTGTCTCTTACTGACATATCCTGAAAGTTCTTCTGTGACAGGAGTCAGTGAAGCTGTAAATTTGTTCTATGGGTAATGCTCAGCTTTAGCAACCTCTTAGGACACTGCAGGGTGACATTAACTACACTTCAAATGACTATTCTCCTTACTGTTTCCTCCCGTACTAAAAGAAAGATGTCACACAAGAAGAAAAACTTAAGCAAAGGACAGAAGACTGTAGGATGAAGGAAGAGGAGAAAGCCAGTCAATGGTTCCTGATTCAAAGGCAATGCACAGAAAGGTACTCAACCTGAAGGTGTAGTTTTCAGACTTTAGTGTGTGTAAGTTGAATAGCTTATTTAAAATCCAGACACCTAGATTACACCTGTAGAATTTCAGTACTTTTAAACAAATATCTTTATTTTTAACAAGAACCTTCACAGTTCTGCACATTATCACCAGTCTTCACTGTCTGAGGAAGAATTTCTTAAAGTATTTTTGATATGCATTGAATGTTACTTGTTGGTCCCTACAGGGCAAAGATGGCATGTTTCGGTGACAGGATTTTGAAGATCTAAATGTAATGAAACACTGTGAGTTCACAAAATATTTTCTTTGACCGTGGTAAGCTTATGAAGTACCTTCAAGACACATTTTTAAAGTATGTGTTAGAAAAAGCTGTCCTACTTTTGTTTTCATGAATATACACCAAATATTTCCAAATGATTAATGTATGTTTGTGTTTGGAAGCTCTTTTCCTGAAAATGATTCTTTGTATTTGCAAAGGATCACTTTGTTTTAGTTTCAGTTTTAATTTTGTTTTTATGTATCAGAGGTTGTCAGGGCTGAGAGGTATTATTGAAATTTCAGGTCAAACATCTTATTTGCAATCGTGCCTACCATCATACAAAGGTATAAAGATATTTTGCTGAAGCATAGAACTTGAGTAGTCATATTTACACGAGGAAAATGAAAATTATAAGCCATTCTTAGATGAGGAAATCTAGCCTTACTGGTTTTCAGCAAAGTTTTTTGATCGCTGAACAAAAAGGCAGCTTGTTATTATTGAGTATACTGTATTTCCTCTACCAACTCAACAGAAAAGAAAGGAGGTAGTTTGAAGGGGCATGTGTAGCTTCTATCCATTTTCTATTAATCTTTATTAGTGAAGACAAGAGCTTAGGGGCCACTAGCTGTTAACAAGGCAAGTTTTCATCTTTAAAAAGCGGATTATTTCCACAATTTGTAAGGTTTAGGTAAAATACAGAACCTTTAGGGCTGTAGGGATGTATTGTTTGGTCTTTAAAGAATTCTTCAGAGACACAACTCTAAGAAATATAGAGGCTGATAAAGTGATTGTTATTTCTCTAGATACAGATGTTTCAAGTGTGATTTGGTTGATGCCCAGTTTGACTTCTATAATAAAATCTTACTCTGAAAGACATATATTCTTACAGCAAAATGCATTATATTGAATTCATTTTTCACTTTGATTTTCTTTATAAAAATAATGCTATATCCCTGTATATCTTTGGTACCCTTGTGTACCAAAAGAGCACTTAAACATACAGAGAGAAAAATATGAATGGAGAAATAATTAAGGACTATAGAAATAAACTCGGAGATTTGGGACTTTAAAGATAGAGAATTAATCTCAAGAGAAGTAAACAATCTTTTTTCCCAGAGAGGCCTTGAATTCCAACTTCCAAACATAATTAACATTCCAAGAGTGAGAAAGGTCAGAGACACTCAAAGTCCAAGTTGCATTTTTCTCCTCAACTATAGAAAGCCTCTGCCGCTTTTTGTTCTTTCTTTGTTCTCCACTATAGGAGAAAAACAAAACAAAACTATTCTAACTTAAAGTCAAGTGCTCACTAGGAGATGTATTGCCTCTCTGGACTACAGAATGCTAGTGGTTTAGCCTCCTAAATTAATGTTGAAATATGTTTTGTTTTGTTTTACACGGGTTCACTTTGTGACTGACCTCAAACTTGTGGCATTCCTTCT